AAAGGGTCAGAGGGCATGGGTTACAGGGGTGGGGGAGTCAAAGGGTGTTAGGCATTGGGGACCAAAGGGCTGGGTTGGGGCAAGACATTCAGGTAACATTGTACTTGTATATTTACATATTCATTAGTTGCATATCGGATATTCAAATATGCACATAATATATTGCCAGTATGCCAAAAGTTTGTGAATGGGTTTGCCAGTCCCCAGCATAAAATACTTTGGGAACCACTGGGTTAAGAGACAGGAAACAAAGTGTAGGAATAAATAGCCAGTTTTCAGAATGGAGAGAGCTAACTGGTTGTGTCCTGCAGGGGTCTGTACTAGGGATGTTAAAGACTAGTTGACTAGTCTTTTGACTAGTCGACTTGTTGATTCTCCTCCTCCTTGCTGCCTCTAAAAGATAGCAAAGGGGTGTGTGTGAAAGGGGTACTTCAAAGTGGCAGTGCTGCACAGCTATGCAGCGCTGCCACTTTGAAACCCCAAGGTGGCATTTCAAAGGAGCAGCTGCCATGGAGCCCGGACACTTCCCCATGGCATTTCCCCAGAACCCGGGATCAGCTGGGGAATCAGCTGATCCCAGGTCTGGGGAAGTGCCGCACAGAGCCCGGGATCAGCTGGGGAGTCCCCAGCTGACCGCAGGCTCCACAGTCCCTTTGAAACACCTGGAGGTGGTGTTTCAAAGGGGCAGCCACTGCACAGCTGATCCAGCAAAATTTGCAGATGATACTAAACTGCACAAGATAGTTAAGTTCAAAGCAGACTGTGAAGAGCTTCAGAAGGATATCACAAAACTACATGACTGATAACGAAATGGCAAGTGAATTTTAATGTTGATAAATGCAAAGTAATGCATATTAGAAAACATAACCTGAACTATAAGTACAAAATGGTGGGGACTAAATTAGTTATCACTCAAGAGAAAGAGCAAAGGCTACGTCTACACTGACCTCTCTTGCGCAAAAAATATATAAATGAGGCGAAGTGTGGAATAGCTGCTTTTTTCAGGAAGAATGGCTCTTGCTCAAGAGGGGGTTTTTGCGCAAAAGCCTCTTGCACAAAAACGGAGCTTCATTAATTATGCAAATGAGGCATGGCGATATTCCACGTGTCATTTCATTTGCATATTTTTGCGCAAGAGAGGGCAGTGTAGACGTAGCCTTAGAGTCATTGTAGATAGTTCTCTGAAAACATTCACTCAATGTTCAGCAGCAGTCAAAAAAGCAAACACAATGTTAAGAATTATTTAAAAAGGGATAGAGAACAGGACAAAGAATATCTTATTGCCACCTCTATAAATCCATGATATGCCCACATCTTGAATATTACGTGCAGATGTGGTTGCCTCATCTCAAAAATGTATCTTGGTATTGGAAAAAGTTCAGAAAATGGCAAAAAAAAAAAGGATTAGGCATTTATGGAGAAATTAATACAACTGGGATTTTTCAGCTTAGAAAAGAGACTAAGGGGGATATGATAGAGGGCTATAAAACCATGACTGGTGTGGAAAAAGTAAATAAGGAAAAGTTATTTTCTTGTTCCCATGACACAAGAACTAGTAGTCACCAAATGAAATTAATAGGTAGCAGCCAACAAAAGTAAGTATTTCTTCATACAATGCACAGTCAAACTGTGGAACTCCTTGCCAGTGGATGTTGAAGACCAGGTCTTTAACAGTGTTCAAAAAAGAGCTAGATAAATTAATGGAGGATATGTCCATGAATGGCTATTAGCCAGGATGGGTAGGAATGGTGTCCCTAGCCTCTGTTTGTCAAACCCGGAATGGGTGACAGAAGAGGAATCACTCAATTACCTGTTCTGTTCATTCCCTCTGGGGTACCTGGCATTGGCCACTGTTGGAAGACAGGATACGGGGCTAGATGGAGCTTGATCTGAGCCATTATGTGCATTCTTATGTTCTTCTTTGAAGGAAATGAGTGAACTAAAAGTACAGACCCAAAGATGATGATGCAGTGATGCAAAGAACAAAGAGATATATCTGATAGAATAAAAATATGCCACTGGAGATAAGATGAGAAATATCAACATGAGATTATCAAAACAGGTTCAATTTTGTGAACCATTCAGAACTGCTTCATAAGCTTGAAGCTTTAGACACAAACAAATGAGGAGATAGTACTAAAGCCATTTTTATTTCATGCAGCTATTGAATGAACTCTTACAAAAGTTTTTAAAAATAGACTATAATTACAGAAGTAGTACTTTGTTTTAGTAGGATTCTTTTGTCTCTGATCTCCCCAATGTAACATTCAGTGCAAAAACTGGGAAAAATATTTTTTGTAAAGGGGAGGCAAAAAGAGCTCCTGCTATATAATCAACTGCATTGCCTACATACCAGGGACAATCCAGGTTTTATGAGCTGGTGACAAAATACACAAATGGATGGTTATGTTGAAGGGTGAGGCCAGAGGTAGTCAATAGGTGAAGTGATATCATATTTGACTGCCAGATGCTTTTGTATGGATCATAACATCTTTTTTTTTTTTTTTACTTATTACTCTTACTGTGGTGCAAAAATATTTTTCTGAAGCCTGGAGCCTGACTATACCTTAACAAAAAAATTTGGACCCTGACCAAAAAAAAAAAAAAAAAATTCTGCTGGGTGAGGCAGTAGCTCCATTATGTTCATCTTTTGTTGTGCTTGTGCAACTCTCTTAAATCAGGGTAGTCATTCACTCTAAGCAGTCAGTGCAAAGGAACTATTGCTAAAAATTAGCAAAGTCTGAAGTTTTATTAAACTCATATGATCAAATATCTGGATTTACATCCAACAAGGTGCTTAAGCATTGTGCATGGTGGGCAATGGGACTACTCACATATTTAAAAATAGATATAAGCTCCTGATGAATTAGGGTTGTACAGGCCATAAAGAAGAGGGGAGAAGAAGTAGCCTTACTACTGTGAGGTATCAGAGGGGAGCAGAGTGTCCTTCCATTAGTCGTGCTAGATCATCATTAGAACTAGACATGCTTAAGAAGAAGAAGCAGAAGCTGAGACAGTCAGGCTGAAGATACAGTAGGGAGGAAATGGCTTTGAATAGGTATATAACCAATTATCCTGTCATCATGGTCAGATTAGCATGGCAGCTAATTTCCTAATGCTTGAAAGCAATTCTGCTTTAATTTTGTGAAATGGTGGGTGTGGGAACCTCTGGGACTGTCTTTACTGCCAAAATTTGGTTTTGACATTGATATATAGCTAATATTTACCTCAGTGAACCTAGTCGAGGTCAATGCTTCCCCCCACCTGGAGATGGCCTTGTCTAATTACATGGAAGTACAACCTCTTGTGTTTTGTCTCCACTAGGATTTTGCATTGGGATAGCTATCTTGGTTAGCTCCATGCAAAAACTTTCCTTTCTTGGGGACTGAAGATATAGTCTGTGACCTCTTCTGTTAGGCTTTCCAGAAACTTCTCAAGAAAGAGAGACACAGACACTCACTCCCAAGAGAGCCAATAGTTGGTTAGGGCAGTGTTTCTCAACCTTTTTTGTTTTTAATAAAGTACCCCTTAAAAAAAGGACTTCCAGTACCTACAGTTTTCAGACACACACAATTTTTTCTAACATTGCAACACATTTGTTTAAACAACTTAATCATAGCTGGGCGGGCAATGAAATTTTTGGGTGTAGAAAATACAAAAATAATAAAACGCTGTAAAACTAAAACAAAAATTCAGTTTTCTTCAAATTTCATTTGAGTTGACATACTCCCCATACTTCTCTTGAGTACCTCTAAAGGTCCTCGTACCACTGGTTGAGAAACACTGGGTTAGGGCATGGCTTCATTTAGGGCAGGGACTTAAACCTGGGTCTCCCATCTCTGCAGTGAGAGCCCTAAACACCACCGTCTTGGTGGGTGAGTCTTGCTGAATGACTCTTCTTGGAACTGTTCCACTTTGTATAAACAACTAAATATTTATTGGGGACAGAGAGAGACTAATTCTAGGCTGGTATTAATACACTCACCTGGAATGTAGGGAACATAGAGACTGAACCTGGCTCTCCCACATGAGTAAGAGATGAGCGCCCTAGCAACCATTAGGCTACTGGCTCTTCTGTGGGCTCTTATTTACTCTTCCTTATTTTTCATTAATCAATTTCAAAAGCTTTTGATTGTGTCCTGATGCAGATCAGGAAAATGTTCTAACATTTAAAAAATATTCATAGGATGGGAAAACTATTTCCTACCTTTCGCTAGACTCCATATCCAGTGTACAAAACCTGAGCTGTCCAGTCACCCTGAAAACATTACCTTGTAGTAGTCTAGTGCTACTTCAGCACCTTACATGTAAAAGTGTGATGTTTTCAAAGTGGTTTATGCTTCCTGTTTAAATGACACCTGTCCTTTTTGAAGTTTTAGAGATACCAAAGAAGTTAAACAAAGATTTTAATACAAATCTGTTATACATAAACTCCTGATTAAATGTTACTCACACATTTAAGTCTCATGGTGCATTACTGATTGTTTTAAACAAAACCTTTAAAAGAAAAATAAATCAAACAGCTTTACTTTTTCACAGAACATAAAAGTAGCATGAACAGTCTTCTGTGAAAACTGAGTTATATCTCAGTGTTATTCAGGTGCTTTTGTGTTTATTGACTCTTTTTGCAGCTATGAATATAGGTAACTATCCTCTTTTGTACTTAATCTTCTGCTGAATTTTTTGTGTCTGCAGAATCCTGAGATAGCTTTTAATTTTCCTGGGGAAGAAGATGGTCTTGTTTTATATCTACGCTTCCCTACAGCCAATATGGGTTGTACTCCTTTTCAGTTAGCATTTTAGCCGAACTGGCAGAAGTCGATGGCAGGTGCATTCAGCACAACAGGTATATTTGGAATTGATTAGTTTACTTTTGAAACAGACTCTATAGCACTGTGCATTTCCCATTTCTAAGCACCGTCTGCCCTCGGAGTTGGCACAGCACTAAAGAAACACAGTGAGTCATAACAAACAAAACGAAAAAGGAAAAAAAGTCGTACCTTAGCTTCTGACCAGCTGGTTCAGTGATCTTATTGAATTTGTCCATGTTCCGTATTGACAGTGCCAGGTAAACTAGTGGTCATTTAATGAGAACAGATAGTTTCCTAGGACCGCAAGGAGTGATCAGCAGACCCAGCAGCTAACCTGAGATAGAATCCCACGGGTTTATCTCTGCCTGGTTTCTACGTTGCGAGAAGAAGAACGCTCATTTATTACCAGACCTAAAAACTTGTCTGAGCACATATTTGAGTTTCATGTTTCTGGTTCGTCATGTGACACCCACAGCCAGCCAGACGGCTCGCTTTGACTCCCGAATGCTATGCAAACTTGAGGACAAACACCTATTGGGCGTACAAATTCCCCTGAATGTGGCTCAAGTCTCTGCTACTTCCTCTTTGTGTCACACATGCAGCTGTGCTTCAATCAGAAGGCATGACTGGAAAATACAACACTGAAACCACACGCCGGCGGCTCATATGGCTATTTCCTGGTAAAAGAAATGTGCAGGCGAGCTATCGGAATGACCCTGTTCACTGTCCTTACAAATGACCCATGTGCCGCTGCTTCTGTTTGGCATCGAACAGCTTCCTCTAAAGACTCGCACTCGAAACGGCCGTAGAGAAGTAGCTGAAAATATGTCTCTCCGTTTCAGGGTATGGTGGTGATGTTTCCAGAGTAGCCTGAAGTTGCTCTTTAATTGGTATTTCCCAACTCCGTTCCAGTCCCAAACAACGCTAAATGTCAACCTCACTCAGGCAAATAATTGCACAGCAACGTGCTTGTTAAAAGCTCAGAGCAGTGGGGATGATCTTACTAGGAAGGAAAGAGCTGTCTACTCTGGAAGTCTCCAAGGCGCCCTGCGTGGATATACAATTTATATCTGCATCTGCAAAAATGAGCTGCAGATATCCACATTTACATCTTCGGGTGCCCATGGATAGAAAGCAGATAGGCACAGATTTGCAAGGCTCTAGGCTGGAGGACTAAAGACAAGAGACTGGAAATTAAACAGTTACTTTGGCAAAGGGAATTTTTGGATATGTCTACACTACAAGTGCTAGAGTGGCACAGCTGTGGCACCGCTGCTGTCATGTAGACATTTCCTACAGCAACAAAGGGGTTACTGTAGTGAAACCACCTCTTCTTCCATTAGCCTCCTAGTATCTACATCAGGGGTTAGGTCAGTGTATCTATGTTTCTCAGGGATAGGATGGCCATGTGTCCCATTTTGGCCAGAGCAATACCTTTTCTGAGCTCTGTCCCAGATGTAGAGTGACCAGATATTCCGATTTTATAGAGACACCATCAAATAGCTGGAGCTTTTTTTAAAATGTAGTTGTCTATTACCCCTTGCCACTGCCCTGTTTTTTCATACTTGCTATCTGATCACCCCACCTAGACTTCCTGACTTTTTTTTTTTTGCATCCATTGGCAAAATCAAACAGGAAAAATGCCCAATTTTGAAAAACAAATTTTTTAAAAGGAACATGCCCTCTGTCCCCAGTGGGGTGCAGGGAAATGTTCAAGGTGAGCAGCAATGCCAGGAAGCTCATGCCAGCCGCAGGTAGGCTCAGGCAAGCTGCTCAGGCCAGTCCCATCAAGTGGACAGAGGAGATGCTTGGCGCATGGCGCAGCCAATAGTGTGTGTAGGAGAGACAGGGGGCTTGGGCAAGCAGCAATGCTCACCTTGCAGTGGGTGGGGGAGACTTGAGTTAGTCTTGGTCCCATATTCACTCGACAAATATGGTCACAGTACACAGGGGTGGGAATTTTTCACAGTCCTGAGTGACGTAGTTAGGTGGACTTAAGTGCAGATTTGAGTCAAACTGTTTAAAGCACCATTTCAGTGCCTAATGAGTGTTTGGGGAAAGAGGTTGCCTGATGCAGGAACAGTTGTGACTTTAACTGGAGGCAGGATGTTGCAATGATTAACTTAAACTGAAGAAACTAATTTAGCACTTTTACACCAGTTTAAACAAGATGGGGCAGGATAAGCCTCTGTCTACCAGAATTAGTCTGACTGAGGCCTGAGCTATACTGACAAGTTATTTTGGCATAGCTACCTAGGTAAGGACTGTGCCTGTGAAAAACCATCTCTCCTGGTCAACATAGCTATGCCCAAAAAAATCCCCACTGCAGATACAGCTATGTTGAAGCAGTATTCCTGCTCTGACAAAAAAATTCCTTCTGTCCACGTGGGTTGTGTCAACACTATAGGGCTATACTGGCATAGCTGGGCCACTACGATCTCCAAGGGTAGATTTACCTGTAGTGGCCATACATGAAATGGTACTGGACTAATGAAGTGATGCAACATCACACCTTTAATTAATCAGCACTACCACAGTGCATAGTTCGGAGCACTAGTCATGCATGGGAACTGTGCTAGGTGCTGTACAAACCTAGAACAAAGACATGTTTCTGCTCCAGAGAGCTCATAATTTTTATTAAAGATAAAACCCTCCTCATCCTTTCTATGACAGAGTTCTGAATGAATATGTCTGAGGATGCCCTTCACCCTCCCAAAAGCTTCTCCAACAAAACTAAGGAAGGCTCAACTGGGTATTCCTGATATTACTAAGGTAAACAACAAACAAACCTCTTGCTTTTTTATGATTCATCATCAGGCTGACTGCTATTCAAGACCCTCTGCTGGCCCCTGCCCAGGGTCCCCTTCACAATATGGCCAGTGCTGGCCCTTGCCCGCTACCCCAGGGACGTGCCCCTAGGTGGACATAGCACAGCCCCAGCCTCGTCCCCCAGCCTCACTGCTCCAGAGAACCTGTGGCTGGTGCTGGCCCCGGCCTACTTCAGAGAGCTACTGAGTGGTGTGACTGAAACTTACCCCAGCTGGCACCGGAGCTCTGGAGAGCTGATGCGCAATGTGGCTCCAGTCGGCTCCTGCCCCAGAACTCCAGGGGGCAGCATGGCCCCAGCCTTCCCCAGCCCTGGAGTGCTGGAAAGGAGGGACAGGAAGCACAGCACTGCCTCCCCAGGCCATGCCTAGCAGCTGGACCAGAAAGCCTTTCTCCTGGCTCCTCTGCAGCTGAGCTGCCAGCCCCAGCACTGGAAGGACAGGTGGCACAGCACAACCTCCAGCCTGCCTGCTCCGGATTCTGACACTCCAACAACAGGCTAGGAGAGGGGGCTTGGGACACTGAAGTGGAGCATAGGCAGATCCAGGTGAGGCAGTTTGGGAAGGCAATGCCTTAGGGCCTTCCTCTGCCTATGATACCCGCCACCCATGCCTGAAGTGGCATGAGGGAGCAGAGAAAAGATGGTTTGGCACTGCAGGAGTTAAAGAAAGCCTCTATATCCAGCTATCCCCGTTCTGCTACACCTACAGCCAATGCCAGGCCTGGAGTGGGGGGAAAAGGATGGAACCAAGCTCAGTTTGAGGCTGATTAGTGAGGCGGCAGAAGCTTGTTTTGATAGCCTGAGGGTGTGAAATGGAGCCTGCCAGCACAGCAGCCCTGGGAGTGAGTAAGCCTCCACGCCTACCCCTCTTGGCAAAATAAGAGGTGAACCTAACAAGCCTTATTCAACTAAGGGGAATCTGGATTCCTGGGACCATGCCCCAAACTTAAAGACTTGGGTAAGGAGCGGTCTGGGGCCCCTGGGCCAAAAACAAAGAGGCAAAAGGGACTAACCTTTCCCATTTCCATCCCCTCTACTCAACAATCTAGCCACTAGACTACCTGGCCCTCAGGGATCTGTCCACAAGTGGCTTTGGTACATGTGGGAGACTGACTCTTTGTGAAGCCTTCAACACAATAATTGATTTTTTTTTTATATGAGATTCTTCTATTAATATGATTCAAAGATTCCAAGCCCAGAAGGGACTGTCTAGTCTGCTCTCCTGTATAGCATAGGCCAGTGGTTTTCAAAATTGCGCCATGGGCCTCCTTGGATAAGCCACTGGTGGGCCTGCAACACTTTTTTTATCTAACTGTCTGTAGTGATGAAACCTCACAGCTCCCATTGGCTGGAAATGGCAAACTGCTGCCAATGGGAGCTACGAGGTTCTGTGGCTATGGACACTTAGGCTACGTCTACACTGCACCTCTGTTGCGTAAAAGCCTATGCAAATGAAGTGCAGATTAACATATTGTGGCACTTCATTTGCATAATTAATTAGGGAGCGTTTTTGCTCAAGAGGCTTTTGCGCAGAAAGGAGCTGTGTAGATGGCTCTTTTTTATGCAAAAACCCCCTCTTGCGCAAGAGCCATTCTTCCTGAAAAAATGAGGAAGAACGGCTTTCGAACAAGAAGGGGGTTTTGCGCAAAAGCCTCTTGTGTAAAAAGGGCCCCTAATTAATTATGCAAATGAAGTGACAATATGCTAATCCATGCTTCATTTGCATAGGCTTTTGTGCAAGAGAGGGTGCAGTTTAGAAGTAGCCTTAGATAAACGAAGTTGCAGACCCACCAGTGGCTTACCCAAACAAGCCCACGACCCAACTTTGAAAACCACTGGTACAGGCCATAGAACATCTGCAAAATAATTCCTAGAACAGGTCTGTTACTAAAAAATCCAATTTTAATTTAAAAATCATCAGCAATGGACAATCCACCATGCCACTTGGGAAATTACACTCGTTAAAAATATCCACCTTATTTCTAGTCTGAATTTGTCTGGCTTTAACTTCCATCCATTGGATCATATTCTACCTTCTCTGTTTAGATTGTCAGGCTCAATATTAAATATCTTTTACGGGGAATAAATACTTACAGACTGTAATCAAGTCCTCTCTTAATTTCTTAAAATACATAGACTCCAAAAGCTCAATCAATATAAGGCATATTTTCCAATCCGAGTTTAATCATTTTCTTGGCTCTTTGCTAAGCCTTCTCCAATTTATTAACATCCATCTTGAATTGTGGACCCCAGAACAATATCTGTTCTCCTACCTGAGTTTCCCTTGTTCATATGTCCCAGGATGCCATTAGTCCTTTTGGTCACAGCATTGCACTGGGAGCTCATGGTCAGAGATCATCCACCTGCTTCCTTGGGTAGAATACTCCATCCTATAAGTATGGTCTTCATTTATTGTTCCTAGATTTATACATTTATATTTAGCCATATCACAATACATAGTTTGCTTGGTAAACTGAGTACAAGCAATCTTAATTGCTCTGTGACCTGTCCTTTTCATTATTTACCACTCTTGTCAATTTTGCATAATTTGCAAACTTCATCAGATTATGATTTTTTTAAGGTTTTTGATAAAAATGGGAGTCTACTGGAAATATGTCTGTTTGATGGCTCACAGTTTTTTGAGCTTTGTGAAAATGGCCCTAGAAAACCATCAAAAGTGTGTGTGTGTGTGTGTGTGTGTGTGTGTGTGTATAAAGTATCAAAAGTATATAATTTCTGTTCTGCATTTTATTCTGGTTGATCATTATAAATGTGGGCAAATCATGAACACTTAAATTATCATTAATTTTTAGTTCTGCAATCAGTTCCCCTTTATCTGTTCAGACAAGGCCTAATAA